TTTTACTATGAGATGTGAAGAAGGCTGAAGACTAGCTAAAAGTTTGGGTGCTGACTGAAAATTTTTTTAACAAATGAAACTTTCAGAAAGCTTGGCCACCCTGCTTGTATGATTCACCCCATACAACCTAACCACTCTTCCCAGAATTAACCAGTGCTCCTGTTTTATAATCTCTGATATCAATGAAAATGCTATTTGCTTCACAACTGTATCCCAAAGTTAACTTCCTTCCTTTTAAACTGTTTTAATGTAATGACTTAAACTTCAAAGAATTTACCATTTGCCAAAGGTGAATTCTTCAGTGTTTAGTTCCATGAAATACACGTGGAAATACTGGATACATTTGTCTGTACTGTGCAAATATTACCATCCCTGCCTGTTTACCTCTTTTGGGGAGTGGCTAGCTGACTTTTGGTTTCAGGGATGAAGTGGTAGTGTCTTGAAAAATGACATGGCTATGCTTATGCATATATGTTTCTTAAGGGACTGCAGACATGGTATGCTTGGTTATCAATATGTTTGTTTCATAGGAAATGACCTGCCCCAGGCATCCCGACCAGAATTATCAAATTAGCAACATTTAATTTAATAATTGAAAATGTCATATTTAACCCAGCAATAATAATGTATACATTCTCTGCAAATACATAAAACATTGTCCATAAAATTCACAATACATAGAACTGTTCGTTTGAATACTTCTGAGAGATGGATACAAGGTTTACTGTGATTTGTGGACCCTGATATAAAGCGGTTATGCCACAGTCTCCCAAGGCAGCAGGCAGGTTGACATACTCATCTATTACCAAGCCACATGCTCGCGGTTTTCAAATTGAGGTTGCACTTTGAAAAATGGTTTACATATTTGCCAGGAATATAGATCGAGATATTTTTTCAGGCATACGTCCCTTCATCCATGTGTCTTCCCAAAATATTCCGTTTTGAAAGCAAAACATTGATATGCAGCACTGTGATGCATATCTGACTGAGATGCGTGAGACTGTTTAGATATGTGGGTCCACTCAGCAGGGTTGGAACACCAGGGTTGCTGAAGCCCGCTGCCAGAGTAGCAGTGTTTTGTCCATATTTGTTTGTTTGTTTGTTTGTTTGTTTGTTGGAACTGATTTAGATGACTGCCCATCTCACAAATGTAACTCTGGGCCTGTTATTTTTTTAACAAGTTAAAAAAGATACAAAACAATAACAAGATAAAAAATAAGTACTGAAAAAGAAAATGGCAGGCAAGGAAACCGGTCAATCAGCTTGCTGAACCTCCTGGTCCCCATGCCTGGGAAAACAACCAGGTCTTAAAGGCTTTCTGAAAGGCCAGCAGGGGGAGTCACAGTAGGGCCAACCTACCCCTAAGGGGTATGGAACTCCAAAGGGCAAGTCCTGCAACAGAAAAGGCATGTTTCCGGGGTCCCACAACATGACATCCTCTGAACAAGAGGACTTGGAGCATGCCCCTTCTGCCTGATGGGATTGGTAAAGACCATTGGAGACAGGCAATCCCCCCAAAATTTTCTTTCTCATTCTTGGGATATTAAAAAAGCAAACCTCTTAAGAGGCGTGCACTCTGTAGTTTTGAAAAAACTAGATTAAACTGTTCTGTTCTGAACAGGATGTTGTATACAGTATAACTCACCTTGAGATCTCTTAAGAAGACTTGCAAATATTATAAAATCTTACAAAAGTTCATTTTTTCAAGTACAATGTAAATATTTTTCTGAACTGATATGCAGTGGGTCAACATTAAGTTTAATATCAACTTAACTGGGAAAATACAGTTAAAGCTTAGATAACTGGAAATCAAATGATGACATACTAAGAATATAATTTTTCCTTAAAGATTGGTGCTATTTTATTCAGTAACTCACAGACAATGAAAGTATAACTTGTATTTACCTCTGAATAGCTGAGAACTCAGAGTAGCTCCAGGTACAGCATTTACAAGGTACATGGCATTAAAAATATTGATAATCCTGTTCTCACAATTAAAAATAATACTTAAAAAGCAATATTGACTTTTAATATAATTTTGCTCTGAAATGAATGCCTAGTTATTTCTGCTTTTGAATTACAGCTAAATGCTATAACTAGTCATTTGTTCTGATGAAATGATTCAGGACTGATTTCTTTTTATTTTCTTCACAGTGATATCCTGAGTAATGTAACTTCTATGGTCCCAATGTAAATGTAAAAGAGTTTATCTCTGACAATGAAAAGTTAGATCTTAAAACGAACATTGTACACCCCTCCTCCCCCCTCTCCCCATGCATGTTTCAAAATTATTTTCAGTGGAGTTAGTACTGCATCAGAACAACAGAACCGATCTAACAGATGTCTTGAGGAAAGCAGGCCAATGCCCTGTGGTCATACCTGGACTATCTCATGCTGCATTATTTTTGAGCTCATTAAAAATCCTGCTAAGACATGCAGAACCAAATGTTTAGGTCAACCAATATAAACACTACAAATTTCTGAGATTTCTTCAAGATAAGGCTACTGAAATGTGCCATATAATATATTTGCCCAGGCTTTAAAAACATACAGTCCACCAGCCTATGTGCATATTAGGACTAAGCAGTGCTTCAGATCTGAAAGCAAAAGGGGGCTTTGGAAGCTACGAGACATACATTTTGTCTTGTGTAAAGCCCCTTAAATGGAGCATATCTTTTCCTGGAATCACATGGCAATTCTGCAGTCCCAAGAAAGGAGGTAGCTGCTTTAAAGAGTTAGAGACTGATGTTTAATGACCACTCCTGTGTATGCCAAAGCATTTTTGGACTTCAAATCTGAAGCACTGCATAGCCCTGCTATGTATGCTTCTCTTTTGATCAGCACTAAGCTTAGATCCAGACTTCTAATAATTGATTGAGTTTAGTAGTTGATTTCACACATTAAGACAATCTCTTGTGTTTTCCAGATGGACCCACATGAAAACATTTTGTTGAGCACGCTTGAAATTAAAAATGAGATGGCTGCCTCTGAAGCTGTTATAGGGCTTGGGGACCCTAGAAGCACAATGCTGGCCTATGATACCTCAAGTATCCAGTATCGGAAGGCTGGCTTACCAAGACACAGCTTTGGCCGTAACGCCCTGGAACGGCACGTGGCCCAAAAGAAAAGCCGGCTAAGGAGACGTGCTTCTCAGCTGAAAATTACTATCCCTGACTTGACTGATGTAAATGCCATAGATCGATGGTCACGCATATTCTTCCCGGTTGTTTTTTCTTTCTTCAATATTGTCTATTGGCTTTACTATGTGAACTAAAAACAAAGCACCACCCAAATATCAAGAACTGGATTCCTCTTCAAAATTGATTGTACAGCCAAATGTGGGACTTAGGGAGAACAAAACCTATTCAGGACAAAAGTTATTTTAAAACACCTTATTTGCTGGCCCACTCTATAACCTGTTCAGTAATGTTTGGATTTCTTTTGCAGAACTGTGAAACCTATTAAGTTACAGTACAAATGTATACAATCTGGCTTTTAAAGATATAATTGCATTTGATGTTTGGAGGCAAAATCTGAAACTTGGTCATTTCATTTTTGGATAATACTGAAAGGAGAAGCTAAAAAGTAGGATTGAATTCTCAGAGCAACTTTTGCTTCTCTGCTCATCTGGGATAAACAGCAGTACCTGAATGGAGAGAGTATGGTCATATGTTGTTATATCAAAACCATATTCATATTTTATCTTTTTCATGTTAATTTGAAGCTACAGTAAGTCATAATGCCTGCCATCATACTGTGAAGACATGTATCAAGCTATTGACTGAATGAAGAGTTGTTTTTTGAAAATATGAAAGCAACTTACACATAATTTGGAAGTGTTTAATTGAGATATTGTAAAATATTAATACAGCATATTGATTACCATTATGTGAACCCACTGATCATAGAGTTATTTTGGAAATGGCCAAGTATGTCCAGCAGTATACCATTAAATATAATATCTAGGAGTGTTCTACGTGTAAGTGCCAAATGAGAGTGGGCCGGCAGTAACTTCATAGGTAGTACTTTGTACTTTCTTCTGCAACAGAGAAAACAGTGGCAACTGTTGTCAAATGCAAGGATCGAGTAAAAGTTACAAACTTCATGCAAATAACAAATCCTGATAGTCAAAATATTTCCTAAATTATAGCTTTGGTTTGTATTTCATTCCCATTTCAAAGAGATTGAATATACTTTTTGAAGTTCAGATATTTATTTAGACATGCACACAAAGACCTCAAAAGAGTAAGCTTATTGTAAGGAACTGGGTTGTCTTCTTCACTTAATACCTTTGCATTCAGTTTTAGAAGTGTTGTTTTTTAAAGAGAGGACAAATGTATTTTCCAGCTGAAGGCACTGAATTATTTTCATCATCAGTTCAAAAACTGCCTCTCCACATTTTTTTTTCCCTCATATAATTTTACAAATATATGGTTCTCATTTGTTCGTGTATATCCTCCAATTGATTCAGTTGAATTTACATGGAATTCATATAAGATAGCTGTGTTCTCCTGGAACAGAAGAGCAACTTGTTTCAGGAAATAAATGGATTATAATAGTTGGAGATGAGTATCCTTTGGAACAAGAAATGTTCCATCTTACTTTTATTTGTTTCTTTTTTATATGTATGTATATATTCCCTCCAGCTGATGGTTACAGTAGCACAAAGGACTGTTTTATTTCTCTGTAATATATTTTAAAATTAAGGTTTCTGGGCTCTCCACAAGCATACCTGGTTGAATTATAGACATCACACTTTGTTTGTGAAAAGGCTGGTCTTGTAACTCAGGTGCAACAGCACTGAGCACACATTCTTTCGTCATGTTTTCTTCCATCAGATGAGCAGTGTTTTAGAAGACCTCTTGCTCAGAGCATCTTTTGGGACAATTAAGATGGGTTTTGCTATACTCATGCCTATGTTGTTGTTTTTCTGTTGCTGAAATTGCCCATTAATTTTATAAAAACAAAGATTTACAAATGTGAAAACTATCAACCTTGGGATTTTTAGACATTGAAAGAAAATGCTTTCTATCCTTTTTCTCTTCTCAGATTGGTTCAACAAGCCAGCCTTAGGAAAACTACAGAATCAGCTCCTAAAACTGCACTTTACCATAGCTGGAAGTTTATAGTACAAGCCATAATATTTTCTAACCTTTCCAATGAGAGGGTGAATTTTATCCCGGGGGCCTACAAAGAAAGTACATATTCACCTCCATGAGGTCATTTCTGTTGTTAAGTGGAAGATGCTTCCAGGAGTAAATGAGAAATCACATTTCTGAATAAATTAATTCAAAGAGATATGAGGAACATAAATTAGAAAAAGGTTTAAGGAGAGGTGGACAAATGGAGGTCTATGATACACAAAAAAGGTTTATCTCCTCTGTAATACCAGCATGTGGTAGAGACAAAAACATGGCACAGTTTGCTTCATAAAGGACATTGAAATAAGCTATTATCGCTTAATTTAACTGAAATATACTCTGGCTTGGTTTTGTTTACAGCCATGTTTTGCCTAATAATCATTCCTTTAATTATTACTTTTTTCAGGTTTTGGATGCATACTAGCCAGCAATTAAGGTGTTTTTCTTCATATATTAAATTCACTGCAAAATTATAACTATATAATATGGCACAGTTTTAACCGTATCTTTCCGATTAATGCTCTGTAAATATGTTCTGTATATGACTGCTAGTAAGTTTAATATGCATTTTCCAACTAAAAACTCATGCACCATATTTATGTTTGCCTAAAGAAAGTTATGTTTCTATAGTATTGGTAGTTTCAATGACTGGGAAAAAAAGAACCAAGTAATGTCATTCTGAACACTTTCAGCAAGTTTTGAATAACAGTATTGAAGGAGACACCTGAGAATTTTTGCATTCTAATATAAAAAATCAACCAGACAAAAGCACAATGCATAGATAATATGAGAGCAAGTGCATATAGCTAGCCAGATAAATATATCTAGGGAAATGATCCTGCTAGGTAAAATATACATTATAAATGCAATCTTTTTCCTTTTTTAAAAAAGTTAAGCCTAGGTTTAAGTAAAGTGAGTTTAAGTAAACCAAACTCTGATCATTTTCTATATATATAATACACATAAAGACATATTTCCATATGTTTATATATATTCCTGAATGTGTACACATACATGTGTTATTATCTATTATGTGTGTGTACATACACATACATAGACATGCACACGCATATGTATGCATTTTCACACAGGCTCCTAATCTAGTGAAACCAGTTCATGCATAGAAATGGGTTTCTGCCCATTGATCAGTAAACCGGGTAGGCAGGTTGCTGAATAAGATGGTGGGATGGGAGAGTGTCCCAATATTTTGCAGCTTCTGACACTGATGTCTTTCTTACGTTGATGGGACAGTTGGGATCCCAACTTCCTGCAAGCTGTTTGCAACCACAGTAAAATTGCAGAACCACATGTACATTTTCTGTTGCATCTGCTTGGTGCTATGCAGGGATGTTGAAGAAGCAGAATGCAATTGAAGGGAGCAAACAGTTTCACAGATGCCATCCAGGTACCCCTGCCCACTCTTAAAATGATGGCCACTGTTGAAAGATGAGAGGTCATTTATGGCATCACAAGCAGATGCAAGGAAGGGGAAAGAAGACATATGGACTGATACTTAAGAGAAGTGCTCTCTATGTTATCCTCCTGAGAGAACGATCATTGCCCCTGCATCCAGTCCCACTTTCTCTTTAATTAGCGTTGCAGGCCTGCAGTCTCCTGAAGTGCTCATGATCGCCTGGATTTGGGCTAGAATCTTGCATTGGTGTTTCAAAAGGAATAAGCTAATAACAGTTGTGTTTCTATAGTCAACCAATATGTGAATATTTTTGAGAACATAAATTATTAATGTATTTAAAATCTTACTATACAGGGTAACTGGGCATTTCTATATCAGCAGATCAATGCATATAATTCTTATGAAGCATTTCACAGTGGACATTACAATAGTACTGTATCTTCTACCATCTCAACAGAGAGAAACTCTCATATTGTTTGTCTATTTCTTCTCTTTTTTTAAAAATAAAGCATCTCCACTAGTAACTTTTTTAAAAGTCCTAATACCTAGATAGGGAAAGTAAAACTATGACATATTTCTTTGGGGAGAAAAGGACAGGAGGGTCAGGGTACAATACTTTAAAAATAGTGATCATAACATTTTGCTATCTGTACATAGGACATACAATCTGAGCAATCGTAATTTAAAAAAAACAAAACTGTAAATATTATCAGATTTCTTAACATTTTTAACTTCTAATTTGTACTTTAATGTAAGGAAAAAAGGTGATTCTATTTATGGTTTAGGTTAGTGTCCTAAAATCATGTACATATTTAAATAAGCTGTAAATGAGCAGTCAATAGAAACAGTAATTGTTCAGTGATTATTTTTTTTAAAACTAAGTACAGTAATTGCAGTTTTCTAGCAGAACAATTTAAACACCCTTTTGCATAAAACTTGATTTCAGAGGAAAATTTCAAAATATACAAATACTTAATAAGCTTGGCATTATATCAGTAAATCAGAATCAATGTAACCAGTTCATATGTGGGTGGGGAGGAGAAAGAATCAATAAAAATGCTCAATGAGCACCATTATCCATTGACTGGTGCACATGGAGATTCAGGCGTATGTGCATATTTCAGAATAGATCTGCGCACCTGTCCTGCTTCCACTAGCAGCTCTGAAGCTCTGCAATTTAGAGGGATTCCACTCTCTGTTTTGTGAGTGTTTTTTTCTGACACTGAAATGAATGAGGCAACCACTAATTCTGCAGAACTTCTTGGGGAAATTGGAGCTATATACAGTCTGAGAGCTGTGGTCTTGGTTTTCATGAGCACATTTTGATTTCCATTAATACTAAGTCTGCAATTCTGAAAGCACATCAGAATTGCCATTAACTAGTAAGTGTGACCTAAAGGAACTCCTGGGGAAAGTTGGGGCCATGATGTGGCTTAAATAGACCGTACTTCTAGTTAGAGAGTAGTCTATCCAGTGTACCATGAGACTTAGTAAAATACTTCAGTATTTTTCAACCTCAGCAACTTTAAGATGTGTGGACTTCAATTCCCAGAATTCCCCAGCCATCCATGCTGACTGGGGAATTCTGGGAGTTGAAATCCATACTTCTTAAAGTTGCTGAGGTTGAGAAACACTGAAATACTCTATAATTTGGGGTACAGTGGCAGCCTTTCATCCAGACACAGTAATAATACTGATTATTTTCTCTTCCAGGAAATGAAAAGCAGTACAGATATAATGTAGATTTAAGGGGTTACAGAAACTACAGCTGCGTGATTGCCTTTCATTAATGGCTTTCTCATGAGTCTGATACCATTTCCAGAAGAGGATCATGCACATTCCTTGTGCACATGAGAATCCCCACTGTCCGTCATTGTTTAGCATTCTATTCCTTTCCAGCCCAACCCAATCCACCCAATGCCAAAGAATCTTTACTTAAGAAATATATTTAAAGGGAACTCTATCAAGATATTGCTTAACACCAAAGGTAAAGTTTAACAAAATGCACTAGGAATTGTTCGTCAGAATTTTTGAGGAATGAATAAAATGTTGATAAGTAATTACCATGTTATAGCTTATACCAATGGTATTTCTAATCCAAGTTAATTAATTCATGATAAAGTGGAATAGATTAACTTTGCAGGTTATATGCAACACATTTTATGTGTCAAATTATTTAAATATTTTGATCATGAATCTACATTAATGTTATTGTTTTAAAAGTCTTAACTCCAAATACTTAGAGCCAAATTCAATTTCTTCTTCTAAATGTTTTGCTCATCACTAAAGTTCTCTAATTCAAATTTATCAGCATTATATGTTTGCATTGTTAGTGCCACTGAAAAATTCACCAGGGAGTATATTTAAGGTCCTTCATATAGTTTGAGTTAGTTAATACAAGCATTTAAGACATCTAAGAACTCTAGCATAGTTGACCATGTTTTGAGATTTCACAATTTTAATTTGCATGGGTGTTTAAATGATTCTGTTAGTACTGTCTTTGCATCCTTTCTTCTTCTTTTTTTTAACTTAGTACTATTTATTCCATAATGTAGTAATCATCAGACTTACTAATGACCTTGTAGCCTTTCTAATATGCACATAATGCACATTTTCCAATGGCTAGAAAATGCAAAATATTAGTGGGTAACATTGCATAAGATTTTCATGTTTTTCTCAAAAGGACTGCTAACCTCTGGAATAATAGAGGTAATAAAATGATTATTGTAAATTGAATAGCACATAAGAGATATTTTCTTGAAACTAA